TAGGTTAGGGTTATGAGTGAGCTAGGCGGACTCTCTTAGACTCCGGCCGTTTAGTGCGATGTAGGCGAGCGGTACGACCGAGCATATTTATATAGCTTACCAGGTACGTTCCGGGGTATACCGGACCGTTACCAGCGCCTATGGTCCGGCAGTACCCTGGGGACATAAACCCTGCTCAGCCTTCAGTTGAGGGTAGAGTATAAACAGGTTGAGGTCTTACCATATTTACTCGTGCATTAAGCCGCATTCGTGTATAAGTCGCAAACCCATATTTTACTTTGAAGTTGGTAACAAACATTGATTACATTAACAAGATTTCTTTATCCCCGTGTAGAAGTCGCGCACACTTGGATTTTTCTTTAAAGTTGGGTAGAAAAAAAAGTGCCCTTAATGTCTTAAAAATATGAAAATTTAGGCCCTATACTACCTATATAGATTACTCTATAGTATATTATATTTATAATTATAGGCCTACGCTACGGGTGACAGTACTGTGCTTACAGTGTACACGAGTAAATCACGATACGCTACTTACTGAATTTCCGCCAGACTTCCAAGTACTTACGCGCCTCTCCTTCTTTCCCTCTTAGCCTGTTTTCTCTCTTTTTGCCCATTTCTACAAACTGCTCTACATATTTTATAGTTTATTGCCCCACAGATCGGCCACAACACAAGATATCCATTTCCTTATCTAACTTGCACCATCCTGGCATTCGCGAACATGCATTCGTTGCTATCGGCCAAGGCTCCTACTAAACAGTCAAATGTGCATGGAATGTGCGCGAAATGAGGCAAGAATGCTGCAGCGAAGTGCGCGGAATGTGCAAGAATGTGCCGCGAAATGTGCAGGCAATGTGCAGGAATCTGTACTCAAACAGTCGAATTGTCGCTACAAACAGCGAATGTGCTACTAAATCAGCCGAATGTGCTACTAACAGCTCGGAATGATGCGGGAATGGGCTAAGAAGTGTGGCGCAATGCTGCATCAATAACTGCGCATTGTATCAAAATGTGTAAGAAAATATTACTAAACCAGCCGGAATGTTGCTACTAAACGCGTAAATGTGGGTACTTAAACCAAGCGGAAGGTGCGGCCGGAATAGTCAAGAATGCTGGCGCGAAGGCGCTATCGAATGTAACTTGGGCTCGCAATGTATCAAAATGTTAAAAAAATGTCTATACTAAACAGCCGGAATGTAGCGCGGAATCGCTGCTAAAGAAAACTGTCGTAGCGGGTGCGCACGGGTATTACCGTGCAGGTGGACCGCCCTCCCCCAGCCTTCCACCGCACTCGGGGGAGCGTGTCGACTATCGGCGTGCGTAACACGTTCGTGCGTAGCTGCGTGTGGCAGAGGAAGTACACGTGCCGTGCGTGCGTGCGTTTGCGCATCAGTTGTACAACGTGCCCGCGCGTGCCGTACCTTCGCATATGCACGTACACATGCGTTTCGTATTGCGTTGCGGCGTGCGTGTACGTAGACGTGCGTGCGTGCGCTGCGCTGCTGTGCGTAGCGTCGTGACGTACACATGCGTCGGCCGTGCGTGTGCACTCGTAGACGTGCAGATGGCGTCATGCACGTAGACGTGCTGTGCGTGCGTTGGGTGATGCAGCGTACAACTGCGTACTGAGGTGGTGCGTGCGTTGGCTGCACGTGGACACGGGCGTGCCGGTGCGCGCGTGCGTGCGTCCTGCGTCCGTGTGTGTAAAAAAGTTTGTAAAAAATGTGCGCTATACAAACAGCGGAATGTGCTACTAACACAGCGATATATGTGCTACTTAAACAGCGGTGGGGGGCAAGTCTGTGCGCGGCGAGATGGGTAAGGAACTGGTGGTGCGGCAATGCTGCATCGGAATAACTGCCGCAATGTATCAAAATGTGTAAAAAAATATTTTTGTATTTTTTAATCTAAACAGCCGAATGTTGCTCTAAACAAAAGCGAAATGTGGGTAGCTGTAAAACAGCGATATGTGCGCGCGATCACACTAAGTAAAGAATGGCTGGCGCCAATCGTGCTCGCAATAAACGCTGCGCCAATGTATCAAGCAATTGTGTAAAAATATTATCTAAACAGCAAATGTGCCTACTTAACGCCCAAAGCAGTGGCGGTGTCGATAATGGCAGAATCATCTGACTTTTATCATGAAAT